CCAACAATTTAAAATGTTAACAATTGTGATAATAATAAAAATTCTCATTTGCTACATATAGAAAGATTAGACATGTAGAATGACACATATAGAATAACAAACATATATTAAAAATAAAACAACACAAGTAGAAGTTCAATCAGTACTGATACATAATGAATCCATAAAAAATATCATTCATCGAACAAAACCCGCAAATATTCAAGACGCATTTCAGGCTCAAGCGCCATGAATATTTTCATTCTAGTTGAATCCTCAAGTTTTTTTACACACTGTGCGTGAAATCTTCTATCTGCAACAACTTCAGGAATAGTACCCAAAAGCCTCAAACTGTCTAATATGCTTGCATCAGAGATATGTGGAGCTGCAAATGCTTCAATCAAACGAATCAAACGATCGAATACGATCGAAGGAGGTGTTCAAAACATGTTTTTTCTCTTTATTTTTCTTAGCAATCTTCGGCCTCTTTATTGTGCTAGAGTCCCCCGTCTCCCTCTGATTAATGCTACGCACAACTTCATCAGGTGTCAATGGTTCAGGGGTAAATTCATCTGGCATCCCTGAAAGGTACTTTCACTTGGGTTGAAAGTAAATTTTCCGGTAGCGACAATACATTTAAACATTATGTCGAGTTTTTCTTCAAATTCCAGCTCAATCCCGCATTGTTTATACTTTTTCGCTGCATGTACCGCATGTGATATAACATTTTAAATTGAATAGTTTAGCTAGTAAAATTACAAAAACCAATTTGGAAAGCAAACAAATCACGGAGTAGATATAAAATTACCTCCAATTTTTCAGTCCACCATTCAGCGGGAGCATCAATTGTCCGTTTAATCGGATCCCAACCCAAACCTGTAGATCCACGTTTCAACTCCTTCCATATTTTCCATTCCTTCTTTAATTGGTCCCATTTATTTTTGAATTTAAGCTTGTCGTAGTCTCTGCCAGTTAGTTCTTTGAACCTCATACCAATATTATTCGAGCCCTCCTTATTAAAGTACGTTGTAGGCCTGTTCCCCCGCTCAATTTCTTTTAAACATAGATCACAAAATATATTGGTGACTTCTTTATCCCACATTGC